GGGGGAATGCTGAGCGGCCGCTGCCCTTTCTCAGCAGGGCAAGTGTTCTGCCTGAAGTAGGTCAGAAGGAAACATCCCCAGTGTACAGCGCTGAATTGCTTTTTCAGGCAGAAATCCGTGGCCCATAGGACTGGGGGTGGATGGGGAATGGGAAGGACAGGAGGTTGGGGGCCCACTGCGGGGGTAGGGGTAGGAAATCGCATCCCATTCTTGGCAGGAGCGAGATTGCCTCTCACACGGTTTTCCTGGCTCTGGTCCTTTGGCATTCAGCCACCGTCTTTGTGCTGGGGGTTCCAGTGACTTTCTAATGCTGAGCAAATCTGAATAAAGGCTGGGCTTTGGAAGATTTTAATTTTTTTTTCTCAACGTTTATTTATTTTTGGGACAGAGAGAGACAGAGCACGAACGGGGGAGGGACAGAGAGAGAGGGAGACACAGAATCGGAAACAGGCTCCAGGCTCTGAGCCATCAGCCCAGAGCCCGACGCGGGGCTCGAACTCATGGACCGCGAGATCGTGACCTGGCTGAAGTCGGATGCTTAACCGACTGAGCCACCCAGGCGCCCCTGGGCTTTGGAAGATTTTAAGGGAAGGAGATGTGTTTGTAGAAAACCAGTGTCCCATCTCAGCTGTCAATGTGCTGTGCATAGGAGATAATTATCCCAGGCTCAGACTGCCCCAGGAGTTATTGGTCATCGCTTTCCAATTGCCCACCAATTGTATGGCACTGAACTCAGCCCTGGAGAGTCTTTACCAGAGAAGCACCTCAGCCCTCAAAGAACTTATACAGTAGAGTCTCCAGTCCTTTAAAACATCTATGGGAATCTTACCTATTCAGGAAGAAAAAAACTCCACCATCATCAAATGGCTGTCTTTGTGAAGGCTGATTGTAGCCACCACCATAGCAGTAAAAACCTAACTTACTTGAGAAGAGCAGTAAACAATAATGTACTTATTATGTGCCAGGCACTTTTCTAAGCTCTTCATGTATTTTTTTTAAGTCTACTTATTTATTTTGCGAGAGAGAGAGAGAGAGAGCGAACATGCACGAGCAGGGGAGGGACAAAGAGAAAGGGAGAGAGAGAATCCTCTCTCCCCTCCTCTCCCCTCCTCTCACAGGAGCCTGTGTGCAGGCTCCACACTCAGCACAGATCCCAGCCCGAAGTGGGGCTTTATCTGAGCAGAAACGAAGAGTCAACCGCTTAACTGACTGAGCCACCCAGGCACCCTTCCTTACATATTTTAACTCATTTAATCCTCACAACAACCTTGAGAGGTGAAATGCAATTTCAGTCCCCTTTGTACAGATGAGAAAGCTGAGGGATAAAGAGATTAAATGAGATCACATAGTCAATGGCAGAATTGGGATTCAAACCCAGGCATCCTGGCTCCAGAGACCCTGTTTTTTAACCATTCATTATATTTAAACTCCAGGCAGAGGGGATCTGTAATAGCTCTCCTGAAAAGGAATCCCATCTCAGCCGTAAACAAGCTCTCTGATTTTAGCCAAATAACTCAGAGGCAATATGGTAGGGGGCAAGAGCAGAGGTGTCAGAGTTCAAAGATCTGGATTCTACTCCCAGTGCTGCCACTTCACAAGAAGGATACTTTGGTTGATTGAATGTACAACACAAGACGTAACTGGCGCCTTCCGTGTTTGCTCTTTCCATCACTGTCCCTCACTGCGTTTCCTTACATGTAAGGTGGAACAGGTGGTTTCAGTGACTCGGTCTAGACAATATTCACTGAAGAGTTACTACGCGCACAAAGCGCTATGCCAGACGCTGAAAGGCACAGAGACAAATGAAGTAGAGACCTGGCCTTTGCAAGGCTCACGGTCCAATTCTCTTTCATTTAATAAATCCTTTGGAGTTGAGCAAGGCCATTACCCCTGTTTTTAAAATGGTGGAGGGGCACCTGGGTGGCTCAGTGGGTTAAACATCCAACTCTTGATCTCAGTTCAGGTCATGATCTCTTGGTTCATGGGATCGAGGCCCACGTGGGGCTCTGCACTGACAGCGTAGAACCTGCTTGGGATTCTCTCTCTCCCTCTCTCTGCCCCTCCCCTGCTTACATGTGCATGCTCTCTCTCTCCAGATAAATAAATAAAATTAAAAAAAAATTAAAATGGGGAAAGTCATATTTAAACACTCAGTTCAGTTGTAGACAGAATGTGACCCTAGGTTGATTCTTAGCTCGGGGCTCTTTCTGCTTCCAACCCTCCCACTCCATCTTGACATCACTGTGACTAAAAGCTACAAAGTCCACTTTGAGTTCCTAACTTCCCACAGTCATTTTTGCACCTCCCTCCTGCCTTCCCCGTCCTGACAAGTGTACACACACACACACACACACACTCAGTGCTGGATCCTTGAAAAACGCAAGATCAATACTGTTGAGCAGCTAAAAATCAGCCCCCTCTGGCAGCCCTTCTTCCTCTTCTGGAGACCAAAGTGCAGTGCTGAGAGGGTGAATGCACAGTCAGCAAAGCCACAGCTACCATATGCATCGTGACTCATTATCCTATCCGCTGACTTGGAACTGAAGCCTCTTGCCCCGTCAAGTAATTACGGGTGCACAGGAAGTCCTCAGCTAGAGATAAGGTCAGTCTGGTGGCTGAAAGGAAGGGGTCAGTGAGCACAACCTTCTGTTAGACACATTCTCTACTGCCATGGGCTCTTCTACAGCAGCCAGAACGGTGCCTTTCAAACAGTAGGTGCCCAACACAGCTTTCTTGGTGGATTAGCTGCTCTGAACTACTCCACCCAGCACAGCTGCAGGATGAGGTTGCTAGGCAGGAACATAATATGTGGGTCTAGTGCCTAAAGGAAATGATTTCAACTCCCTCTTGTTTAGCAGAGTTGAGTTATGCCCAGGAGAACCGCAGCTCTGAAGATGTGTATTCTTTAAAGAACTCTGTGTTATACAATTCACTTCTGCAATCTGTCCCAAGAACTTCCTTTTCTATCCCCTAAGTTAGGATAGGGGAAGAGGCACATCATCCCCATGCTTTCTCGAAGTGGTGTAAGAGCATAGAGAACTTTAGACATTACTTAAGCTAAACTTGTTCTGGTCGCATCTTCCTTAGCATTTCCACATCCATGTTTCCACGCTTGCCATATCATTTCTTTAACAATAATCTCTTCCCAAGGCTAGAGTCAGAGAGATGAAAACTTCTGTGAGCTTCCAGGAACCAATGTCCCTATTGACTGCTATAGGAGGTCATCCCCCAATAGCTATTTGACCTTCTTACAGAGTGGTAGGATTTTTTTTGTTTTATTTTTTTAATGTTTGCTTACTTTTGAGAGACAGAAAGAGAGACAGCACACACTGGGGAGGGGCAGAGAGAGAGGGAGACACAGAATCCAAAGCAGACTCCAGGCTCTGAGCTGTCAGCACAGAGCCCAATGTGGGGCTTGAAGTCATGAACCATGAAATCGTGATCTGAGCCAAGTTGGACCTTTAATCAACTGAGCCATCCAGGCACCCTAGAGTGGTAGGGTTGTTTTTTTTTTAAATGTTTGTTTGTTTGTTTGTTTGTTTATTTATAGAGAGTGTGTGTGTGTGTGTGTGTGTGTGAGAGAGAGAGAGAGAGAGAGAGAGAGAGAGAGACAGAGACAGAGAGAAAGAGAGAGAGAGGGCAGGGGAGGGGCAGAGAGAGAGGGAGAGAGAGAATCCCAAGTAGGCTCTGTGCTCTCAGCACAGAGCCCCATGTGGGGCTCGATTCCATGAACCGTGAGATCATGATCTGGGCCAAAATCAAGAATTGGATGCTTAACTGACTGAGCCACCCAGGCACCCCCAGAGTGGTAGGATTTTTGACTGGGTACATGACCACCTAACTAAAGTCAATATTTCTCAGTCTCTCTTACAGTATGTCCACATGATCAAGTTCTGGATAATAAGAAGTTAGAAGGAATAATAATGCACTTAAAAGGAAGGCCCATGCCTTCCCTATTCTCTTTTTCCCTAGTTGGACTGTGGACGCTGCAGTGAGCCATCTTTAACCATGTGCATTGAACAAATATTCTAAGAGTATAGTAACAAGCTAGAGGGGCCTGGGCCTCTAATATTGAGGAGCCACCATAGTATGCCTGTACTGTATGCACTCAGACTGTTACCCAAAGGACAGAAATAAACTTCCCTCTTGTCTAAGCCCTTATTACTTTGGGTCTTGACAGAGCTACCAAACTTGTATTTTAACTAACACAACCCCCGTTGGGGTGCAACCCCTGTTGGGTGCTGAGATTCCCCAACTCTACTTAGGAGTAGCCTAGCGAGTTTTGTTTATGAGAGATTATCATGGTGGTCTATGAATGCGTGGCTCATCTGGCTGTGGCTGAGTGGACCAGGGGTAG